GAATCACCCTCGCCCACCAATCTCCCTCGACAAAACACGAATCGAACCTCTGATAGAAAAAGTTGCTTTCTTGCAAGATTTTCTTGAAAACTATACCATTGATGATGATGATGATGCAGATGATTTGGAGGGGCGTATGGTCGATGCTGCTAACAAAGCAGAAGATATAATTGAGTCCCACATTGCCTATCATATTTGGGATGAATATGAAGACCCTTTGTATCAATACATACAGAAAATGATGGAGGAACCAGAGGATATTACTGAGTCCCACATTTCCCATCATATCGAGGAGGAGGCTCGTGGTGGAGCTAACGAAGACGACGGCGACTCTTGTTTGTACGGAGAGCTACAGGAAGTGATTCACGACTTGGATTCCATCACAAAAGACGTGGCTGCTGCTATTAAAGGCAAAGCTCGGAAAAAAATTGACGCCACCATATATGATGTCATGGACGACGACATCTTTGATAAGCTGACCAACAATCCTCATCCAGAGGGGGCGGGGGGTTCCATTAATGATGTCATGGTCAACGTCATGGGTGAGCTTACTGATGCACAATCCAATCGTTGGATAATCGCAATTGCCGGCATGGGGGGCATCGGTAAGACCACTCTTGCCAAAAATATTTACGAACATCCTGTAATTGTGGAACACTTTGAGATACGGGGATGGGCTACCATTTCTCAAGAATTTAGTTCCAAAAGAATCCTGTTGGAAGTCCTTGAGTGTTTGAATAACAAAGGAAGTGAGGAGAGCGAATATGAAGTATTAGGAGAAAAATTGTATCAGAGCTTAATCGGCAGGCCATATCTGATTGTGATGGATGACATTTGGGTTACGGACGCGTGGGATGAGGTGCAGCGCTTCTTTCCACATAACAACCACAACAGCGGAAGCAAGGTACTACTAACAACTAGGTCATTGGAAGTGGCTTTGGAACTGGATGGTCAAGACTACTTTCGGATGCCATTTCTGAAGGTGGACGAAAGTTGGAATCTACTACAAAGGTGCGTGTTTGGGGAAGAACAACAAGTGTGCCCTCGTCCGGAACTGGAGGAGATTGGGAAGAAGATTGCCACCAACTGCAGAGGCCTTCCACTGTCGATTGTCGTGATCGGAGGACTCCTAGCAAACTCTCAACAGACAAGGGACAACTGGCAACACGTTTTAGACAATTTAAGCTCGACCGTGAATTTACAGGAAGACGAGCGTTGCTTAAGAATACTAAAGTTGAGCTACGATCAACTTCCGGTCCACCTGAAGCCGTGTTTTCTCTATCTGGGCATGTTCCCGGAGGACAAAAGTATTTACACCTACAGGCTCATTGATCTATGGGTCGATGAAGGATTTGTGAAACCGGTTGGTGGGAAAAGGTTGAAAACAATTGCGAGAGTAGTGTTAAACAATCTCGTCCTCAGAAACCTAATAATCATCTTTCGCGGGTTGACGGGAAGAAGAGTATGCAGAATCCACGATCTATTGAGGGACCTATGCATAAAGGAAGCCGAGAAATATAAATTCTTCTGCACAACGCAGCACAATTACTTTCCTGACCACCACGACCAGAGCTGGTGTGCCCAACGCCGTGTCAACATTCATCTAGCCGCATCAGAGAGGAAATACTTCTTCCATTCACCAAGCCCTTCTTCACTCCCTGAAGCTGTGCAGTCTGCATCACGTGCGCGGACTCTGATATCCAGCTTTGATCGAACACCATTTTTTGTTCCTATTAGATTTAGATTGTTGAGGGTTCTGCATGGCTGCACGATAGGAGGAGAATATTTTCATATGGTCAACTTGCGCCACCTGACCGTCAGTCTTTATGATCGCCAGAAGCTTGAATTTCCTCCGGAATTTTACCTACTCTGGAATCTACGGACGTTAGAACTATATCATAGTGGCGGTTATGATGCGGTGTTGGACATTTGGCGGATGCCCCAACTCAGGCACGTCATGATATACAGGTTGCAGCTCACGGATCCGAAAGAATTTGAAAATGGTTGTTGGATGGTGTTGGAGAATCTAGAGACACTCGGGGGAGTACGTAACTTCAAGTGCAGTGACCAAGTGGTTGAGAGAATCCCCAATATCAACCATCTGGGAATAGAATACGATGATGAGGGGGAATTATTATCAGCCGCTGATTATGATCTCCACAATCTCTGCCGACTACATAAGTTGTGGTCTCTTGATTTCTCTATTGTTTCGGGGAAAAGTGAGGTGATGATGAGGTTCACATTCCCGGTTACGCTCAGGTATCTGACTCTTGGCGGCACGAGGCTGGGGTGGGAGGAGATGGGGTCAAAGATAGGCTCCTTGCCATTTCTCGAGACGCTCACGCTAAATCCTGATGCGTTCGTGGGGCCCGAATGGGAAACAGCCGAGGGCGAATTTCAAAGCCTGAGATGCTTGCATATTAACCGCTGCCCTGATCTGGAACAGTGGTGTGTGGAAGCCACAGACTTCCCGTGCCTCGAGAGCCTCCAAATATTGTCTCTAGATAAGCTGAAGGAGATCCCATTGGGAATTGGGGATATAAACACGCTTAGGGAGATCGAGGTGGTTGATTGTTCAGACTCTGCCGTGCTTTCTGCAAAGAAGATATTAGAGGAACAACATAAGTGCTGTGGGGAAGTGGATCTTCAGATTACAGTTGCGCTACTTGATAACCAACTACCCAACTTGACGAGTAGTCAGAACTTTACAATTAAACAGACTCGTTTCACTTATGGTGGCAAAAACACATGAAGCAAGCAAAAACACAACAAAGAGATATAAATCCAACCCGTCCGGAAGTGATCGGTAGAAGCAGATGAATGAGAGTAGAAGGATGGATGGGAGGATTAAGGAGAGTGAAATGATACACGCCCGAAAACTTTCAATTTTTGGAAAGTATTTTGGTGGACTCTCTTAGGGTTGTCAAGAAACTGAAGGCTTTGGAGAATTTCATGTTGCCTGAATTGGGTTGTGTCTGGAAATGTGTGTTTGATGTTGTGATCTGTTTTTGTGGTCTGGGATTTAAGGAAATGGTGATATTATGAGTTGGCGTGTGGGGAAGTTGACCGGGTCGGGTCTTATGAAAAAGTCAACTCGGAATGTTCACTTTAGTGGTTGTATATATGAAGGTTGGTTGCATGTATGCTATGCTGTATTTATTTGAGATTTTTAATCATATTTTAAGACTTTTTGAATTAAGTATAGAGCCAGGCTGGTACAGTCCCGTTACGAAACTATTTCGTTGGGAGTTTTAATCGTTAGATGCACATATAGATTAGGCGCTAGGTGGCACTTCAACGACACAATATTTAGGCGGCTCTTATAATTTTAGCCTAATTCGTTATTCTCTATCTAGGGGTCATTATGATGTCTTCACGCGTAAGTTTTAATTGGGTGACTCACCGTTAGATTTTTCTCAAGATGGTCATAACCACAAATTTGTAACTCAATTAGATTTCATTAGTCTACTCAATTTTTCGCCAAAAATAATTTTAGTTGTTCAATATTGGACCTAATTCTGGTGTCGACTCACATTAACTTTAAGTATATGATTGAACGTTGAATTCTTCTCTTCGAAACAGTTGTATACCCAAAATTTCATATCAATTGGAGTTCATTTGCTCAGTCAATTGTCCATCCAAACTTATATGCACAAAAGCATTTTTGGCCCGTGATTAGTCCGTGATCAACCTGCGTTGTGACTCGTGCCCGTGATTATCTTTTTTAATAATTAATGTACCCTATTTAATGAATTATTTAAATTAATGTATTTCATAACCAACGTTTTGGAACTTTTGGATAAAACTGGAGGTTTGTCAGTTAGAACTCCTTATATAATTGTTTGATAA